TTTACACAGCTGCTGGAAGCCTATTTTTTCTTTTTTTCAATAGCCTGGTTTGACGTTCATAGTAGTACAAAATGGTGTGGAGCTAAAACTGGCATTGTTTTTAAAAGTCTTTGTATGTTTTGTCTTAAGTCTTCACTTTTGCCCAAAGCTTTCTCTAGAATTATGCTTACATGCAGGGTCACTTGAAGGGTCACCTGTAACCTTTTCATTTTGGTTCTTCCCACCAGTAAATGCCAAAACCCACCCTAATGTCCTGAGAAATGTGTGATAATGCCAGTGTGCTCATGCATGTAAGGGGAGGGATAGGAGAGACTTTTCAATGAGGAAGGGAAGTGTCCCTTCTTTAATTCTTGCATGCAAAAGGATGAAGGATGAAGGTGCAGAAGTACTTGAAGTTGTTCTCAGTTCTATGCTCAAGAGAGCATACTTAGCTAAGCAGTATGTAGAGATTGCAGATCGCTGTGAGATTTTGAATTTTGGTTATTTTTAATGAAATGCAAAAACAATTTTAAGAGTCACTGGAAGTTTGTCATATGCTTTAATCTGTTTTAAATATGCTCAAAATGCCTTCAAAGGCAAAGTTAGAACAGAGAGAGATTTAGGTTGTGATAAGAATTATGAATTTTAGTTCCATAAAATTCCTCAAAAGTTTCATTTGCAGTGTTGGAAAGCATGCATACAAAGTAAATTGGCAAATTGGTATGGAGAGCTAGAATCCATATATTTAATGCTATAAACATCTATTATCCTTAGTAACATCACTGGTGGATGGTGGAAGTTCAAATACTGACAATCAGGATTGTATATTTTGGAAATGATTCACTACCTGCTATTTCTTTCCTTGTAATGATTTTCTAAAATTATTTTTGAATAATTAAAACATTATAAGGGAGATTCATAAATAGTTTGGGAAGCTCCTCAAAAAGCTGAAGTCTGTCACATAAGTAACTTAGTTTGCATCATGCATTAGAGCAGTGGCCTAAATTTAAATGAGAAAGTGGGCACTGTTAATGAGGTATGGCCTCGGTTCACCCCATTTATCACTGTTAAGTATATATGTTATGCTGCACTCTAATTAAAGGTGAAGCCGGTAGCTTGACACTTTCCAGAAGATGACCCTGTTTCAGTTTCCTGTGCTTTTGCCAAAATATTTGGGATGAAATGTTCTTTGCTGAATAGTCACCTGCGAAGCATTTCATTTCCTTTCATTTTAGTTATTTACTCTGAACTTCTCCACAGAGACTAATCTGCAATCATTTCATGGAAGGAACTTAAAATTGGGGTGCAAGGTTTCTCATATCTAAAGGATACTTTTTTGGTCTGTATGAAGGAGAAAAAAGAAAGGAAGAACAACTTCAGTTCACAGGTCAGCAGTTATTCTCTGCGGAGTCATCATATCTCTCAGAGTAAACAGGGAAGGAAACTATACCATCTTTAGGCACAGAAGCCAGTAGCAAGCACAATATAGTTCCTGGCCTTCTCCAGGGACATTCACATTGCTTGGCTGTAGGATTTGCGTAGTTTAATGTAGTGTAACCACATTGCTCTGACAGGAGGTAGTCTTAAGCTGGGGTTGCTTACAAATTGCACTGCAGAAGGAGCTGGGGCTGAAAAATGCACATAAGAAAGAGAGAGAGGTCTTTCCAGAGCCAGGTCTGATGAAGTTGGTGAAGGAGGAACTTACACACACAGAACAGTGTTAGCAGAATGTCATAGGTAGGAGACAAACTCAGAGATGTCCCAATTGCACATTCAAAATCATCAACATTAATGGGGCTATATCTGCATATCTAAAGTGCATATCTGCACTGTATTAAGTCTTTTATTGTATGCTCATGTGGGATGTCTGTCATAAGGGAGCAAAAGTTATGAAAGGTGAAGTACAGTTATGCAAGAAGGGATTTGTATAGAGAGCGAAGTTGTATCCCGGGTGGAGTGTTGCAGGGTGTTATCAGAGGTTGTTAAGGTTAAGTAACTTGAATTCCCCTCTACAGGCTGAGCCCTTCATATCACAGAGTTTTGGGTAGCTCTGAATGGTGCTATAAAATGTTGAGCACTCTGAAAAATTAAGTTCTCGAGTTGGTGGTTTGCACCCAACTATTATTCATACCCTACACTGAACATGCATTGTGTGCCATGTGGTGTTATTCAGCAGAACTTTATAGAAAACTTCTCCAGCTTTTCTTATTCACCCAGAGCTGTTTAGTACAGAGTCCAATGACTTAGGAATGAAACTACTTTTCAGCTGACAGAAGCTCATTACCTTATTTCACAAGCATGCTGCAGTGAAGTAATTTCTACAACTATGAGCACTCTTGGGGGATTACATACAAAATTGTTCTCTCTGAAACCTTTAAGCATACAAGTTAGATTGCCATAGCAGGGCTTAGGTCTAACCAACATAGTGTTTTCTTGATTGCTGGTCTATTTATTAGCAAATATTTGTGTGTTTAATTGATTGGTAGTGTATGCATATTCAAGTGCATAGATTCAAGTAAAATGTAAGAAGCTGGCTCAAACTTCTGACCACCTCTGCAAAGCAGAGTGTGTGTGGTCCTGATTTAAATGACGAGCTGTGCCCTGTATTGAGGGGTCTGTCAACAAAAGCTAGAGGATAGGCCTAAAGCCCTCTCTAGTAAATGTCTGCTTAAGTTAACAGACCACTGGTGAAATATGCTACAAGGAGTTACTTAATGTCAGCAGAAAATGGTTCTAGTTATATTACTACTAAGCATGTGTTGAGGTTCATTAACCTGTCAACTGTGCTCATAGTTGTCAGACATGAGGTGTGACCTGATGCCATTTAGTGCATTGCCATAAATACAAACTTAGTAATAACACTGTATAGAACAGCAGCCAAAAATAACATCATCTTTGCATTTCCTGACAGTGTGCGTTGTTGGTGTCTGGGGCTTTGGCAAAGTCAGAGGTAGTCCTCATTGGCACAGTAGCTGCTGATTCATTAAACGCTTAGCCTGTGACACTTCCAAAGAATTTGCTCTATAGCTTAGCAGTGATGCACTGATTATTTGGTTACTCTGTCAGAGGAATGTATCTGTTTGACATCATATTTTTTGCTCAACACTAGCATTTGATTTAAATAAAACAAAGATGTCATCTCTGCAAAGCAAGTATTTATATAGTGCTATATCAGATTGAAACTTTACCTGTACCTACTGATACTCAGCCGTGCCTCTGCAGAACAGAAATAGCATTATCTGTCCCACATATTATAAGTATTGCCAAAGGAAAGGGGTTTTTTTACCCATTAGAAAAAAATAAGCTCAAATCTTGCATGTAAAACCCACCACTAATTAGGTACGCATTCAGTATGACAGTTCGATTCATTATGTTTTTGCAGCAATGTACTTGATTGCAGTAGCAATCAGCAACAGAAGTAACAGGGAAGGGAGTACTGACTCTCATCATTGTTCGTGCAGGTTCCTTGAATAAATTCTTACTAGCATTTATAATACTACAGGGCTTTTTATTCAAATAATAGCTGTATTTGAATGAATTTGATAAATGTGTTCATGTTAGGGGAAGGGAGAAAAAAAAGATAAAGGTCCCCTTCATTTTCCTTCCCACCTCACCTCCACAGGGGAGGCAATAGCTGCAGAGAACAGACTGGCTGTTTTGTCATCACTGGTAGATCAGTGTCCTCTTGTCACTTTTCCAGTAACTCCACCATTAGGTCAGGAACCCAGCATGTGAGTAAGGCTGCCAGATGATACCTTGGCTTTTCTCACAGACTTCTGGTCAGATAGCTGCTTTCCTAATCCCAAATACTGCTCAGCAGTGAGTGCTGCCTTCATCTCTTTCCTCTTGGCTGCTCCCCCAAAGCATGTGAAAAAAACATAACAGCAAGTTTATGTAAGGTAAATAAGTAAAATTGGCTGTTTTTCTTCTTTCTCAGCCCGTATTGTAGATAATATTATTGTTATTACTATTGTCATGCCTGTTACTATGGATATCAGAATATGATATCCTGCCATCAGTGTCTCTAGTTGTGTCACCTTACGGCTAGTCTACAGCAGTTAAAAAAAACATGGAGCCAATAATATGTAGAAGGCTTTTAGTTACTGCAGAATAACGCATCTCTTCAGCTGCTATTTGAGGGCCTCAGATTTATTTCTCTGTAGTGGCTTTGATGGGTGGTCTTTGTCCTTATTATTAAAGCACTTCTAGTTTAGCCCTGTATGTCTTATTAATCATCTCCTGGCCTAGGTTGAAGACTGTGAGTGTTAATTTCAGGCTTGAGCTCCCTGCAGCTTTCGTTCCCATTTGGTCTTCTACCTCTTGGACAGTAACTTGGCTGTGAAATAATGCAGTGTGAGCATAGAAATTAAAGTTAAGCGTGATTTTTAGAGAGGGAACGATGTGTTGCCTGCAGTCTATAGTCACCCAGAGACTAGAGAAGGGGGAGATCACTGATAAATTGCAGTCACACGTAGAAAAGCTGATCTGGCACTGGTCTGAGCTCCCCTCAGCATTAAGGGGTTTTACACGTTCTATCATGTGCTGCTTTGCATGCAAGTTATTTTGTGTTCTGGAGTATAAATACCAAATACCATATACATTTAAAAATAAAACCCAACAAAACTAAAAACCTAACCTAAGCAATACTAGAAAGCACCTTCTTACAAAACAAGACTCTACATGGAAGTGACAATTTGAAATCATTATTCAGACTGTTTGGTGTATTGCAGAGGGTACTCAGACTTGAGCAAGGAGTTTACTTCAACAGTTTACCTACAGTTTGTTTAGTTGCTCAATAAATGTTAACATTTTTGACCCTTTAGAAAGACTCTATAGCACCTTTTTATACAGTTGCAGAGCATCTTTATAGTGAAGTATTAGTTTCAAGTGACCTGCTTTGGGTTGCTGCTCAGAATTTGAGAATTAATTATATGGTTCATTTGACCTTGACTGTGAGCTTCAGCTGGTAAACTCTTTTATGGATAGTCATATAATTGTATTTATTTGTTTCATTTCTGCAGGGCACTTGCTTGGGCTTTCCCATGATGATTCCAAATTTTGTGAGGAGAACTTTGGCTCCATGGAAGATAAGCGTCTGATGTCCTCCATTCTGACTAGCATCGATGCCTCAAAACCCTGGTCCAAATGCACTTCAGCAACTATAACAGAGTTTTTTGATGATGGTCATGGTATGTATTACCACACCATGTGTCAGCTACATGTTATTTTTTGTTGTGTTTTTTTTTTTTTTTAATAAGAACATTTTATACCAGCTTGTTCATTCCTTGATCATTCTCAGGACTGTCTTGGAAGTGCTTGCAAAACAAGGCAAAGGTCTAAAAGGCTGACAGAGTCTCACCCTCCCTCTTCATGGTTCAAATGCAAGAGAAAAGAAAGAGTTGAAGGAATGTGTATTGGCAAGAATTTGGTTTGGAACACGGAGAGGTTTTTTTAAAAGTATGAAATTAGTTTTGTCATCCCAGATGCCGCAGATATGAGCTCAGAGAGTATTTTAAACAGAGGATACAAGCTTTTTCCTCACAGGAATTAAATTGGGGGATATGGTCTACTTAGTGTTAGGCTACAGATATGAGCAGAGTATATGTGTTCTTGTTGCTATTAAGGACATTTATTACGTTTATAATGCCATTGTATTTATTATGTTTATGTAGAAGGGCTGTAAGCAAGAATTAAGACTCTTCTGTGCTGTATATGGTAAAAGATTACTTCTGCTCCAGGAGCTTAGCTTCCAAGTCATGTAACTAATATTTGTTAAATATGTCATTTATCTTTTGGAGAATAAGTGCAAAATTTTCATTTTCCAAAGGTAGTAATAAAAAGCACAATCTTCACTTTTTAATGATTTTTAAAGTCTTCATTGTGCTCCCAAAGCAACTGCAGTTCTTAAACAAACCATTCAAATTCCAAAATGCTGAGATAAAAATGACATAATTGAGTGAATGGATCAAGTTGTTATAGTAACCAAAATGCTTATGGATAAAAAGTATGGTATGTCTGTTGAATGTAAAAGTTTTCTTGCTTTTAAGCATTTTGTCGCCTAATTTCAGTGCTCTCTAAAATATTATCTCCCATTTTCCTCTATTAGAGAATGACTTCATTTTTTCTCACAATTTTATTAGGTCCATTAATCTGTACTGTCCTGTTTTATGGTCCATATAGCTTTGGCATTGACTTAATATTACCAAGTCAGTTTTCACATATGAAGAGAACTTTCCTTTTTGAGGTTAGTTACTGAGGTACAGCTCAGTTCACTGTGGTAAAAAAAGGGACCTCCCTTGCCATCCATGAATGCCCTCTTAGCACAAAGAACTCTGAAACGTATTTCCTCTTCTGTTCCTCTCCTGCTGCAGGTGAGCAGAAAGGTTGTTCTCATTTTTTTGCTTTTTTATGTGACCTGATTCTTCTCTTTACTATGCATCCAGCTAGGTACTTTCTTCAACAAACAGGAAAACAGAGAACATTTTCCCAACCACCTCACCTTTGGCTTGTTTATAGCTGGGTGGATGCTTTTAATTTGGACCCTTGTCCATGAGCTGGACCCAGAGGGAGGGTAAGGGGGACTATAACAATCAGTCCTACACGTCTCTGCCATAGTTTTTTTCAGTAAAAGTAGATAGGAGCTTCACATCCTTCAAAGCTGCATTATGGTGTCCTTGTTCATTATGAGTGCTGACTTACTCCTGTACAAGAAGTTGGGCAGTCCTCAGCTGCTGACACTTCACAAAGTCACATATTCTTTGCTGCATGTAAAGGGCTCAGGTTCTGTCAGTCTCTTAACAGATGGGTTAGGGTACATTGCCCTAATACTCATGAGTAGTTTTCACTCGGGCATGTAGTCTGAAAGAGTTATCAATATGATGAAATAATTCATAGAACCTCTTATCAAATAGAGGTCGTTAGTCCTCTGGGATTTAATTTTATTACTGATGCTATTGGTGTGATTTCAAGTATACAACAGTCAGGGAATCTCTTCACTTGATGAATCAAGCCTTCAGGGACCTTTTCCAGTTAATAGTCTTCATTTTCTATTGAAGTTTATAATATTTCAAGTATTATTTTATATCAAAGATTTGTCTTAACACAATACAAACACTATCTGTGAAGTAAAAATGGAAATCAGTGATTTAAATTCCAGTTTCTTCAAATTATTGTGCTGAAAACACATGCGTTATTTTAGGGAGGGAATTTCTGGTTTTATTTTCTTCTTCCAGCCAGTGAGTAAGCCATAGCTCCGTAATTCCCAGTTGCAGTGTACGCTGAGTGTACCAGAAACCACAGGATCCTAGCAGAGCATGACGCTTCCTTTCAGACTGCTTTGGCCTGATAAAAAAATAGTGCAAATGGGCTGTGTTTCCATATTTCCTTCAGAATAAGCAATGTCTCTGCTTTTCGGGATGCTCATCTTTTTCCTTAGCTGGGGCAGGTGTACTGTCATACAGTTGCAGTGTTTTCCTTCCCTTTTTGTTTTCATGAAGGAGCTCCCCTGCAGTCTTCTTATAGAAAGAAGAAAATACTATCTCTCTCAAGTGCCGGTAGGTAGAGGAAAAAAAACCTTAACCATTCAGGTGTAATTTTGAGCAGTACTGCAGGCACAGTGTAGATAAGGAAGAAAGAAAAAAAGCAGTTGCAACAAAAGGATACCAGGCTTTCTTTTAGGATGTTTGTGAGTGAATTTTGCATAGTCACAGGAACCTTATGTGGGAAATCCTGAACAACAGAAGACTCCCATTCTTTGGTAGGCAGTGTAAGCAGTTTGCACTGGGCTTTTGGTCTGAATTGGCATGATCTTTTGAATTGTGTTTCTTGACAAACAGGGCATGGCAGCATTTGTGTGAGGAAATAAACAAAATGCTTTATCTGCTTCTCCTTATGGGTAAGCATACTGAAATGTGGGTGAAGTGCAAAAGTTTGGATCTGTGAGCAGTATTCTGTTACAAAAGAACGGTCAATGTCTTATCAAAGGTTTAAGTAAGTTTCCCAGATAGATTTTTCACCATGTACTGCTGCAGCAGAAAATACTCTTGACTCTCAAATTCCTTCAGATCACTTTATCAAGTACGGATGTTCCTATTTTCTAAATTTGGAATGTTGGGGAGTGGACTCATCTTATAGAATGTATTTAGTGTATATAGCTACTCCTAAACTGGGTATGAGTTACCACCTTAGTGCAGAGGTGTCTGATCAATGGCATCAGTGGTTTGATTGACCTCATCAGCTGCATTAGTGGTGCTGAACTACACCATAAACTAATTTGTCTGAGTAGGGAAACATCTGACAGCTGGCTGAGTTGCACACACCAGCATTACATACAGTTAAAGTCAGCTAAATAAATCCCAATATAAATGTGTAGTCCAAAGTCAACCAGGAGGTCTGGGGACAATCAAGGTGCCTGATTCCCTGTCTCTTGAGGCTCACTTTGAGAACTATAAACATTGTTGTCATGATATCACCATTTGTTTTACACTCATGAGGTGATCCCAGACAGCAGTTTGACATTTAAGGAGAAAAGGCTCAGTTAGTGTTCAGAAGACAGTGACATTTATTTCCATCTGCTTTTAGCCAGCCCTCTCCTAAGGTACTAATTGCCTTTATTGTCATGCCGACCACTGTGCTGTGGTACAAGTGTTGTGATTTATTGTGTTTATTCAGAGTGTTCGATGCTCTGTGCAACCTCTGTGCAAGGACTATTTCTATTTTAATTAATTTATACCCTGGTTATCTGCTTTGCACAGATCTTAGGCTGCCTTCCCCCCCCCCCCCAAGATACATTACACATACCACTGAGGAGAGATAATGAGATGGCTTAATTAACACTGTCATCATCCAACAATGTTGCTCAATTGCAGGGCACACAGATGTTCCTTCGTACCCAGGACAAAAAAAGGGAATAGTGGTCTGTATGTGTTCTGTATGCTGCAACTTAACATGGTGAATTGAAGCCATTTCTGCCCTCTCAGCCTGGGGGGGGGGGGGGGGGGGGGGGGCGGGCAGGGTAAACCATTCTCTAACTTCTTAACTTTGTCTTTTCTTACCATTACAAGTAGGAGGTTGGACGAGTTGGTGGTAAAAACACCTGCACTTCATTGCAAACCATATAAACATAGACACTGCTGCTATCTATCATCTATAAATGTAAAGACCTGTTTGGCGGGTTTTTTTTTCCCTGTGGGGGATCCTTAAGGACTGTTGTTTTCTTCAGTTTTGAATTTATCGTGTGAGTACAGCTGGAACACCTGGCTTGGTAGAAATTGCTCGTTTCCTCAGAGCAGTATTGGTTGGTTAAGGAGAAGTTTGGATCTCAGCCCCCTGTGTTCTGTTTGTTATTCACATGTGAAAGGCATTCAGATGGCTGTTAACTAAAACGATTGACAGATACAGTATGTGTAAGGATATGACTTTTTTTCTTTCTTCTCTAAACTTATATGTCTATTCCTGTCAGTTGTGGTAGACCTCAGTGATGGGAAACAGTGTTGTCATGGTGAAATTAGGTGTTATTACAATGTTTCAAAACACTGAACAACAGTTCCAGTTGGGAGTTTGCCAAACTGCAGTATATATACAATAGTAGTGTATACTACTGAATGGTACATCCTAGTGTTTTCCATAACACTGTACTAACTTCCTCCCTCATCACGAGATACATGAAGTAGGACTTCCACTGTTACTTACTTTTACAAAGTGTATTTTTGACAACAACGTTTGCCAATTATGTCCTTTTTAGAAACTCCAGAAAGGAAATCTGTGTTCTCTCGCTCCTCACTGTGTCTCCAATACTTGTGCTACAACATACTTTGAACGCTAGGGTACTTTTAATTATCTTTATCTCATAGCACTCAGCTTATCAGTTAGCATTGGCACACCTTTTCTGCATTAAAAAATCATCATAATCCAAATTAAAGGTAAGGTTAGGGTAAATCAGGGTCAGCAAAGGACAAATGAAACAGGTTTAACAGGACAGAGAGTTTTTTGGTAGTAAGTGTTGATGCAGAAAGAGTTTTTGGCTGATTTGGCTAATTGGCCTTAGTCTTTAGAGCTGAAAAAGAACAATTGCAGTGTTTTCTAGAGGGGAAAAAAAACAAGCCATTGAGAGGTGGGGTATTTGATTTGTTTAAATTAAGTTACATAGCTTGATATTCTATTCCTTTTCCTGTAAATACCGAGGGGGTCATGGCCTTTTTTTTCACCCTTGATCTAACTGAAAAATACTGGTGTAGGTTCCAAAGTGAGGTAAATTGTGGTAAGTCATTTTGGCCAAGGATGAGTGAAGCTTGTCCAGACCACATATCCCTTTCATGAAGTGTAAAAGAGGTTACACTGAATAAATAGTTCTGCATGTCAACAAGTGAGCTTTTCAACAGAAAAAAAAAACAATAAAAATCTATCAGTGATCCTCTAGAACACAAATGTGAATTCTCATTTTTAGAGTGCGCCAGACAAATTTTGACCTCTGCAATACCTCAAAACAAGCATGCAATTATTTGTTTGTGCTATTTTTTCTTCTTTTTTCTTGTATTTATGTATTTTTGTATAAAATGGATAGTCTTCTTCAACCTAATCACAGAAGCAGTCAAGTACCATTCCTTACAAGAACAGCCCAGTCCAGATTTACCAACATTAGTTTTGATACTCAGTTTATATTTTTCCTTTGATCCATTGAAGTCCTTTCCTTCCCTTTCCCTTTCCCTTTCCCTTTCCCTTTCCTCCCTTCCTCCTCTGCTTTTTCTTTTGCTTTGCCTTTCACTAGTTTGCTTTGCTTTGATTTTTTTTTAAACTGTATAGTACCTCATTGGCCATTGTCTACAGGTCTATTTCTTGTGATTTTTTCTGACATCACTTTAGAAGCTTTGCCATTTCTAGTGTTCTGTCTCAAAATTCAAATTACAACTTTACTTACTTTGCCCTGAGTCTTGATCATTCTTTAAATCACAAACAGATAAATAGAATGGAATGTTTTCAGAGTCAACTCAAATAAAGGAAACCAGAATGAAAATCCAGAGGAACATGAGTAATTCTCATTTACACCCTCAGACTGGAAACAGGCAGCCCGACACCTGGTGTGCTGCTGGGTGACACCACAGTTTCAAGAGCATGACTAGGAAATGAGTAATGATAGGTTGGTTTGCTCTTTTAGGTAACTGTTTGCTGGACCAACCAAGAAAGCACATTGTGGGCCCTGAGGAGCTGCCGGGACAAACGTATGATGCCATTCATCAGTGCAAACTGGCGTTTGGACCCGAATACACAGTGTGTCCCGGTATGGATGTCTGCTCTCGCCTCTGGTGTGCAGTCGTGCGCCAGGGTCAGATGGTTTGTCTGACCAAGAAGCTGCCTGCTGTGGAGGGAACACCATGTGGAAAAGGGAGGATCTGCCTACAGGGAAAATGTGTTGACAAAACCAAGAAGAAATACTACTCAGTAAGTTACCAGCTGTGACCCTAGCGAATTTTAGAAGGCATAATCCTCAAAGGAGCTGATTTTTGCGGGAGTGAAAAGGACTTTATGGAAGTCAGATTGAAAGCTGCCTTATTTTTTTGCATGTAATTGGAGAGTTACTGGTGAGAAATGTAGGAAAAACTGCATGTTTTCTTCTCAAAGTCTTAAAGCCTTCATTCCTGGAAAACTGGGTGAATCTCTTCAGAGTAGGGGATTTGCCCATTCAGTAAGTCAAGTCTCAGGACATACAGAAAGATTGTCAAGGAACTATTCTTAGCTTCCTGCCTTCTTGGCAACAGACTGTAAGATAAATCTATAAATTCAGTTTACAGTCCTTATCTGAAAGGCCTCAGGGCCCTAACTAGTGAAGAGAAAAGTGGATGACATTCATTCAGAATATAATTTCTGGAGCAGAGAAGTTTGTATCTCCAGTGACAGAGCTCTGTTAACTTTATACATCTGAAGAGTCCTGAGGCTCATGACAACTGATAGGTGCACAATTTACAGGGTAGACAGTAACACTGTGTCTTCTGTTATACACATAGAAGAGGTATGGACTTCTAGAGATTTATGAAGATATTTGCAAACTATGAGAGTCATTCATATCAAGCTATAGCCCTTACAGTACCCTTTTTTATGGAATTATATACTTCTACCTGGTATTGCAATACTCTTTCTAGGTAGCCAATTTTATCAGAGTTGCAAACAATATTTGACAACTCCATCTCTTGCCAGTAATTCAGAGTAATACCTACACATCCCAATAATTGCATTTAATTAATCATAGATTAGCCTTAGGAACACATTCTGCAAGCAGAATCCTTTGGAGATAGTTTAAGGGGCCCTACTGGTAGGAAGAGCAAAAAATAAGAGAGCAGCACATGAGACTGGGTGCTATTTCTGGTGCATGTGTGTCTTCCATGAAACAGTCTGAAGGTGACTGTGGAGAGCAAAACCTAGTTTTGCATTTGCATACATAGTGCCAAATGAGATGTCATCAATGCGCAGCTATAAGACAGAAATTTCCTCTGCTGGGAGAAAGAAGGCTCCTAAGATGTCTTAAGTCTGATTAAAATGATCAAGGGATTGCCTTCAATTCAGGAAACATTAGCAGTGACTGCTTAGTGATGTATCACCTTTATTCACACTTGGATGATATCCTTACCTCCCACTGTTACGCACGTTTCAGGCTTCAAGCCATGGTAACTGGGGGTCCTGGGGACCTTGGGGACAGTGCTCTCGTACCTGTGGTGGAGGAGTTCAGTTTGCTTATCGTCACTGCAATAATCCAGCTCCTAGAAACAACGGCCGGTACTGCACTGGCAAGAGGGCCATCTACCGCTCCTGCAACGTCACACCCTGCCCAGCAAATGGTAAGTGCCTTTGTGCCAAAGTGTCTTCATGCCCCAGCTTCTGTGCTCATAGATAGTAAACGCTGAATGTCTACTGTGAAAGGAAACAGCAAAGGTCCATTGTAGTTTCTGCAAAATCTATTTACCAAGGCAACACATTTCATCATTAATACAATGTTGTAATTCTTCCCCCATCCCCACCCTGACGCCATACAGAAAGGACACTTGAGTGAAAGAAATCTCAGTCCTGGAAAACGAACTGTAATGAAAACTTTAGTTCTTTAATGCTTGTTAAGTCATGGGAAGATTTCCAAGCTAAAGCAGTTGAAGAATTTGAAGGCCAGTTCTAAGTAAAGAGGTGATGTGATGTAACTTAAAAATCATGTGAAAATGAAATTGGAATAATAGATGGGCATAATGATATTTGCAATGCGGTCTGAAATAGTCACTAATGATGTGAATAATTCTACAGCTAAATCTTTTCGACAAGAGCAGTGTGAAGCAAGGAATGGCTATCAGTCTGATGCAAAGGGAGTCAAGACATTTGTTGAATGGGTCCCCAAGTACGCTGGAGTTCTTCCTGGAGACGTTTGCAAGCTCACCTGCCGAGCCAAGGGAACTGGATATTATGTGGTCTTTTCTCAGAAGGTAATGTCATCTCCAGTCATGATTTCATGCTCCAGTTTAGAAGTATCCTGTATCTTAAAAATCTTTCCCTACAACAAGGAAAAAGAAGTTAATCATATGATTCAAAGATATAACTGTGTGATTAAATGTAATAGTTTGATCCACTGGTTACCCTTTTGGACCAGAACTGGCCTCTAAAATGAGGTAAGTTTTTCCACTTCTTAGTATGTGGATACATGAAAAATATGGGCCTCTTTATGCGCTCTGCAGTAGTTTGTTTTCAGTAGTGGATAAAGAGGTTTCTGCCTGGAGAGTCATCTGTCATTATGGGATTTCTGGGGGAGAAAGTGTACTAATAGTAAAACAGTAAGTTTTACCCTGAATTATGTTAACAGAGTTCAAAGTAACTCTACAGAGCCAATTAATATAGAATAATTATCCAATTAATGTAGATGTGAACTTGTGGTCAGTTTGTTATTTTGAACTGAAATAGCTCCCACACATGCAGTTTTATGCCTCTAAATATTATGACAGTAACATTTAAATGTAGATAGCCCAAATGCAAGGCTATCTGTAAGTACTGTTATTGTTATTATTAATAAGCTGTGAGATCACCATGAAAGCCAAGGTCATATTAGCGTCTTACAGTGGAGTTATCTGTGATTGCTTTCAGCCCTTTGCTAAATTTTATCTGCTTTTGTGCTGGGGATGTTAGAGAAACTCAGTCTGGACTGTCAGGGTGGGCACTCTGAGTAGGTGACAGAAATAAGTGAGTGGGTTTTGCCAGCCAGATTCACAAAAGCAAATCTTTTCCATGGCAATTTTAACTAACTGTCATTTGATTGCCTAGGTAACTGATGGTACTGAATGTCGACCGTATAGTAATTCAATCTGTGTTCGGGGAAAATGCATCCGAACTGGTTGCGATGGCATCATCGGTTCAAAGCTCCAGTATGACAAATGTGGTGTGTGTGGAGGAGACAATTCCAGCTGCACAAAAATCATGGGAACCTTTACCAAAAGGAGGTATTGATCTTGAGTGTTAGTAAATGTATTTTGTTATGCAAATAGTAACTCAGCTATGTATTTTTTCTGCCTCTAAATGCAATTTACTTTCATTTGAAGATTAAGCAAAAAAAATATGTTGCCTGTGCTTTATTGCACTTTCCAGGTATTTACAGGTGGCATCTTAACATTACCCTGAAAGTGGCAAATAATCAACTGACAAAACACTGCACCCAGTTAATTTCTGACAAAAAGTGACAATGATAGAGGTGAGCACCCCATTAATAGGAAGTTTGCATGGAATAAGACATGATAATCTCACTGCATTAGCTGGCTTGTGAATCCGGAAGTTGGGATCAGAATAATCTGTGTATCTCTGAAACTCATTTCCCATATGATGCTGGGTTATCAAGTGTCATGGTTTAAGCCCAGCCATAACTTAGAACCACGCAGCCTCTCTCTTGCTCCCCCCTCTTCCTCCCTCCTGCTCCCAAAGGGATGGGGAGAAGAATCGGAAGAATGTAACTCCCAAGAGTTGAGTTAAGAACAGTCCAGTAACTAAGGTGTAACACAAACCACTACTGCTACCACCGATGATAACAATGATAAGGGAAATAACAAGGGAAGAGAATACAGCACCTCACCACTGGCCAACTGATACCCAGCCCGACCCTGGCAGTTATCTAACCCTTCCAGGTAACTGCCCCCAGTTTATATAGTGGGCATGACATCCTGTGGTATGGAATACCTGTTTGGTTAGTTTGGGTCAGGTGTCCTGTCTCTGCTTCTTTCCGGCTTTCCCTCCTCCCTGGCAGAGCATGAGCCTCACAAAGTCCTTGGTCAGAGTAAACATTACTGAGCAGCAACTAAAAGCATCGGTGTTATCAGCGCTGTTCCCAGGCTGAAAGTCAAAAACACAGCACTGCACCAGCTACTAAGGAGAAAAATGACTGCTACTGCTGAACCCAGAGCATCAAGTTACATGCTGAGAATGTGTTTTATCTCCTCTAACTTTGAATGACAATGAGAATATCCTACCTGATTTAGTGACACGGATTCCTTGTATAGCTAGTGGAGAGGAGCAGACAGCATTAGGGCACAGCTGTTCCTTAACTGCTGAGAAGCTGAGAGGAATTATACCCTAAAAATACCTTTTCACACTGCTGAGTATATATGGAGCTTAGATGACTAGATTAAATGTCAGAAGCAAACAGGCTCAAGCACGGTATTTGTTATATCCCTTCATGTCCATTGGGATGTCAATCTCCAGATAGACTTATTTTTAAGTCAAAATATTTATGGCAGTTATCCATAAGACGCTGTCCTGTTAGAGTTTAGCTTTTAACTGTAAGAAAGCTTAATACAAGTAAAAGAAAAGGAACTGCTTGCATGGTTTTCCATGACCACACTGAGGGCAGCAGGAAGCTTTGTACTGAGATACCAGTGTCAAGGAAGTCTGCTTTCTCTCTGAACTCTTGTTTCCTTCCCTCTTCAAGTCTTAAGATGCATAGAAAAATGAGGATTTTTAATTATCATTTATATAGATTCCAAGTTCTCAAAGGACTGCTGTAGTGATCTACTCTTAGAAACTTGTATTTGTCAATTTCTACTCAGCATCTGTGACTGCATTAGTGTAAAGTCTTGTATAATGTTCATAAACTTGATTTTGGTTTATATCTTCCAAATTCTTACACAGCATATCAAAAGCTATGAAAAGTTGAAATCTGACCCCAAAAATTGCTTTTTATTTCTATAAATTTTGACATACTGATTAATAACTGTCAAAAATGGCTTTGAGAGTCAATTTAATCTAAAAATAAACATACCTAACCTTCCTCATGGTAAACCAATGATTACTCACCTAAGAATGCCAAAACACCTCTGCCAAAAAGAATAACTTTCTGTCCAAATTTGTAATTATATAAACCGATTCTTTTCCATTTTGTAAATATTGAAATGACTGGGATGTGTAAATGAAGAAGACAGTGTGAAATGTACTTCATGGGATTCAGTAATGATCCTTGTGTTGGAATCCAAGCTCCAGCAAAAATGTTAAATGAACTCCATGAATTTCAGTGAGGCCAGATTTGTAGCATAGATATACCTGGAGAAATTATATTATAATTATTCCTAAAATTACCATCTTACTCCTCAAATCATGCCTTTAACTGAAATCAGAGTGGTCAGAGAGTAAAATATTCATTCAACTTCAATACATTCAAGAAGTCGCCCCACTTAGAAAGTATAATAGTCAACCTGTTAAGTGTCAAGTATGTTCTAACTTGATTTTGATTGAATTTTGGAATGACAAGGATTTAGTTTTTGCTGGAAATACTTTTTGAGACAGTTCCCTTATGCGAGTATGGAAGTGTTTAAGGCCAGGCTGGATGGGGCTTTTTATAAACCAAACTATAGCAATTTATACAGTGTACAGGGAAACTATTAAGAGTACAAGGGGAAACTAGTATTTCCCATTGCAGACAATTGTCATAACAGCATTTGTACTTTTTTTTTTTTAAGCAATCAAAACGTAATCTTCTGGGAACCGCTTCCTAAGAACTTTTTTTAAAAGGTTGTAAAGCCAAATTGACAGAAGTTGGGAAAGTGATAATTAAAGCTGTATATGCTTCTTTGTGCACATGGAGTGTTACAGTTCTTTGTGCTGATTACTAGAATTCTACATCATTGCTTGTAGGTTTTGAACAAATGATTTTGTAACTTTAATATATGTTTTAACAGTTATCTTGGCAACTGTTATGCAAAAATATTAGCACAAGGATGTAGACCAGAGTACCCCCAGCCTTTTTTTTTTTTTTACACCATATTCCTTCACCTGTATGGAGGTGCTAAATCAATAGAGTTTTAGTCGTTCTCCCATAACTGCTGGAAATAGCGAGGGAATAGCACAAGTGTTTAATCTGTGCAGTCTTTACTTGTGCAGCCAAAAATTCTCAAAATTAGCAGTCTGTTCTTTAAACATTCCCAAAGGAGACCCCTTCAATTTCAGCACTGAACTTTTCCGATTGGAAATACTTGCAAAATGGTTTTGTCACAGGTTTAGAAATGATAATACATGTCTCCAAAGTCCATCTGGCAGCTTATGGCTATGTATAGTCTTTAGATTTTTTCTATACAGCGGTAAAGTTAAATAATATACTTGAGATGGCGTTCAAGTTCCAGCACATTTGAAGGTTTTGATTGCTTGTCGCGTTTGGTGGAAGAGTTAAGTATCTTTTTGCAAATCTGAATTAAGATTTTCCATAAGTAGCAACAGAGAGAACTCTGTGATGGTACAAATGAACCATTTGGGTGCACCTCATATTAGACACGTGACAATTAGTCTTTGGCTTTATGTATTTCAAAGTAAACACATTTTTCCTCGCTGATCAAGATTATTTTTAAAAGTTCCCAAGGTACTTCTACCCAGCTGTTACTCTGCTCATACTTTCCTTAATCATCATTATAGCAAAGACAGCAAGAAACAGCTGTAACCAATGCATATCTCATTATCTTTTCCTTGGCAGGCAAAGCATGCATCGTATTTCATATCTCCCACCCTTTGCTGAAATATATAAGCTATCTGTTATTTTTCATTCCTCTTGTATCTGACTCAAGTAAAATTGTTGCTAAAGCTAAAGATTAAGCAATTTGAAATAAGTGCAGTAGAAGTTTCTTCAAGAACATAAAGAGCAATACAACAGACAAACACTGGAACCTGGTTAAATTAATCTTAGATGAGCCTCAAGCCAGATGGGTTCAGGACATGAATTAAAATGAAGAAAAATGTGTCATGCCAGTGACTTAATTAGGTGTTGCAGTAAGACTTGAGGCTTATTTCATGATAGCTACTGAATACTCTTTTTTTCCCCTCATTCAGCAAGGGCTACACAGATGTAGTGAAAATCCCGGAAGGGGCAACCCACATCAAAGTTCGGCAGTTCAAGACTAAGGACCAGAGTAGGTTCACTGCCTACCTGGCCCTGAAAAAGAAAAATGGTGAGTACCTTGTCAATGGAAAATACATGATCTCCACTTCAGAAACAATCATTGATATCAACGGGACTGTCATGAACTACAGTGGCTGGAGTCACAAAGACGATTTCTTGCACACAATGGGACACTCTGCAACAAAAGAGATTCTTATCGTGCAGATACTTGCGACTGATCCAACTCAACACGTGGATGTCCGTTATAGTTTCTTCGTGCCAAAGAAGCAAGAGCAAATGACTAACTCTGTCACCAGCAGTGGCAGCAGCAGCAAAGTACCTCCACAGCTCATGCAACCCCGCTGGGTTACAGGGCCGTGGCTTTCTTGTTCTCGAACATGTGACACAGGATGGCACACCAGGACTGTCCAGTGCAAAGATGGGCATGGAAAACTAGCTAAGGGATGTCTTCTCTCCCAGAGACCATCAGCATTTAAACAGTGCTTGTTGAAAAAGTGTTAACCTGTGGTTATGATCTTCTTTACAAGAGGTTTGATTAAGCCATTGTTGACATACTGGTATTAGGTCTGCCCAGACAGAGAGAAGCAAAGGCTTCAATGTACTTACATAGTCTCAAATTATGGGCAGAATCTGCCTATTTGGACCAAATGGAGATGTGCACTGCTTTAAATAATGTAGGGTTATCTTAATATGTCAAAAAACTAAGTATCAAAGTTGTTACAAGCCCTCTGTGTCTGCAAAAATCCAAAATAAAATAATGAGAAAGAAGAAAAACTAGTGAATGGAGGATCCTGGGATATTTGAAGGTTACAAAATCATCTCCCCTCTTTCACCTACCTCTAATACAGTATATCCTTTAAAAATGTCACATGTACCCATGATACCAGAGTAGCTTATTTTATACTGTTTTGTAAATATCTTTCATTTGGTATGTCACTTTATATCACTTGGTTCTATTAAAAGATCAAAAGACAATAAGCAAAGTAATTGACCAAAGTATATCTGAAGCCCTTGGTCCATTCTTCAGAAAGGGCTGCAGATGTTTTACTGGAAAATGAAGAGCTTGCTACTGGTTTTAAAAAGCTACATCTTTTGGTTTTGACAAAAGGAAACACATTTTCATGCTAGGAGTTTCCTGGCAGCAGATCATTATTCTGTGACAAATACTGTGTTTCCACTGACAATTCTCAGAAGGAGCACTGCAGCAGCTTGCAGACCAGGGACAGGGATCCCCACATGTGCATTGCTCCAATACCAGCACCATCAGCAACTCCTCACCGTGTGTATGTCAGACACACCAACGAGGAGGATTTGGCTGCTAGGGGGGATTTGTGTGCACTTTGCTTGTACACCTTGCACTGGTTCTGGCTGTGTCACTGCTTGGGGTCCTTGTTGTCAATGAACAATAGCTGCTAGTTTCTTCTTTCAATAAAACAAAGGCATACTGTATTTTGTAGAAACTAGTTAGAGAACCAAAAATTACAGGTAAAATAATCAAGTGTCTTCTAACTCAGATATTCTGAGGCTGTGTTCAACTGCTTTCTCTGTTATTTTCACTATGGCTTCCACCTTGAATCTAACAATGTGTAATATAACGACATCTTTTTAAGAGGCTATGAAAGTCAGAAAAAACAGCAAGCAGTTAATATTTTATCACTGTTTTGTCCATCGTGTCTAACTCTGGTATTCATCTTACCAGCAAAAGTTTGTAACTATTTGTCTTTTTGATTGTTTTTGTGTGTGTTCGGGGTTTTTTTAAAGCTATAGAAGGCATTCATGTTTTGTATATCTACCACATTTGAAAGCAAAAGGGATCACTAGGAAGTCAAACCACATCAGGATGTGGAGGACTTGCCCAATATCAATAAAACTGTTTCCACAGTACAGGCATTAGCAGGTAATAGTTTTCATTGGCAGCAACTTCTGAATCCCATTATTGTCTGGTAGAAGTTCTGTGACTGAGGATGGGCATTTCACTGTATGCAGGTGGCAGGAGGAGACCCGATAGCAAGCCTGCTAAAATTAACTTGCTCTTCTATCAGCAGGCTTTGAATTAAGCCCTAGAATAACAGTACCAAAAGCAGCGGTTCAAATATGCTGATAAAAATAGAATTCCATCTTTTATTTCTTTGATCATCCGCACAGGATAGTACGAGGCTGCAGGAGGATTGTCAGACAAGCCTTACAGCTGTAAGTCACCGGTACTTGAGCACTGAAATACCCCAGGGTCTTCTGAAAATCCCAGTCATGAAATCAGTAGAGAAAACGTTGGCCTCTGTAGCAAGAAGGGCAGGTCTGACTCAGGCTGACACAAACATGTTTTTGTAACAGCAGCGTGTTTTTATGAACTCTTAGAAAGCATGTGATGGTTTCGAAACATCGTTGCTACATCTACAAGTGTGAAACCTGGAGAAGCATTTATTTTTGTACTGTGTTCTAAATAAACAATAATAGGGGCAGGGCCTCTTCCTCTGTCAAAATGAATTACCAGCGATTGCTACTAGTCATCTTCAGCTTTCAGAAGTACTCCTATGCAAAACAGTGCATCTTGAGGAAAATTCCCCACTTAATCTCTGATCCCATCCTAAGAACTGAGATCGAGGCTCTGCAGAGATATTTGCAGAGATACGGAAGGATTAAGATTTATGCCTTCTCCATCTATTAATGTAAGCTCCCTTTGAAGTGTCTTATTTTCCTTTCCAGTAATCTAATTTTTATATCTGTATTACATGTGTTCTAGCACCTCTCGAAAAGGCTTATAACAAATAGAAACCATCATTATAGGAAAAATAAGGACACTTCACGTTTCTCGGCATAGACTTAACATTTGTCTTGGCATACAGCTGCAGTATTAAGTGGAATTTGTTTTTCCTGTATTTTATCATAATGCGCAAGAGACAAAATGTGCAAGTATTTGTGTTTGCATCATAGTAATAATTTATTTGATATTCAACAGGATGGGTAAAGCTTTTGGATGCTATTCAGGCTCCAGAAGAGCAATACCAGACACGGGTATAAATTTAAAGCTTCCTTAGATGAAGGGTATTTTTTCATAGAAAGAGTTTATTTATAAAAAAATAGGTAAGTATGAGAACAAACCACTATAGTGACTTTTCCCTTTTCACCAGCCTAGTAATGAAGCAAATTAACATGAGCAAAAAGCAGTTGCCTTTATATGGTGAGAGGGCAAAGGAGACAGACCAAGGAAGCAAGCCTAAAAGTGTAAGATAAGCCAGGCCAGCCTGCTCTAGTTAGCCCTTGATTTTTAGCTGTTCTTTCTAATCAGACTCCAGTTCCAAACCTTGCTTTTGTCGGCCATAGCTATCTCATATAATTGATGATTGGAAAATAGGTGCAAGGTATGTATGTGACCTTGTCATTTCAGGTTCTGTTCTCAGCTAAATTAGTTGTCACTCACACTATTATGTCATTGTTTACGTTACTACCAAGTGTTGCCAAATGTAAAATGCATCTAGAGTGTTGAAACCCAGACTACTGTTTATTTTTGCATAGAAAGAAATGATCCTCAGTGTTAAATTCACTGCTGACTCTTTAGAACGTCTCCAGTGCCCTTAGGTGGAATTAGACCTCTAAGCATTAGTGGGTTTTAGAGCATCTGCTTTTCAAATAAGAGATTCTCATTAGGAAAAAGCCTATCATCTTTGGTTTGACAAGATGTATACAAGAAATTAAATTTAGCTGCCCTCCTGTGGAAACAGTTTTATCACAAGGGGGAGAGGGAATAATCTTGTGAATTAATCATAAATGTTTAAAAAAAAAAAAAGCAACACAGCACTGAAAAAATAAAATAATTTATTGTTTTTACAACTGGTATGTGAATGGATGTAATGAATTTATTTATTCTTATTTAACAAAAATACCAATTGTGCAAATTCTATATTTAAAATGTTTTGCTGTCGTCTCTGGCTCTCTCTTTCTTGCTCTCTTTTAATTTATGCTTCAAATTTGTGTTGAAAGTACGCCTTGTGAGTTTACATAATATATGGCACTGGTTATTTTTTGTATGTTTTTATTTAGAAAGTTTTCTGCATGGAACAGGAGTATATGTGCATACATGTGTGCCCACAGTACAGATGTATATTCGTTTTCTGCTACTATCTTTTTCTTAGAGAAGTTGCAGATTTGTAATTTTATGCACCTCAAGCTCAAAGCTCCTTGTTACACTTCACTCAACTAGCAAATCAAGAGAAAAACCCAGGCCAGCTCCTAAGGAAGTCAGACAACAAACTTGCTTCACATAGACAGATACAATTCATGCTGTGTGCCTCACTGATTTACCACCAAAGCTGGTGCTCAATGGGAGCAAGTTCAGGCTTCTAGTAAATAGTAATCCTCTATATGTGAATGAATTAATCCGAGTTGTCAGGGTGGTGAGTCTTATCTCATGCTTCTTATGTTTAAGTGAAAACACTACAGAGAAACCCATGTGTGCCTGTTTAAAAATATAGCTGAATCAATGTATGATTCAGGTTATGAGGACTGAACCATTAAGAAAGCTACTTTTCCGATATACATACATAAATATGTATATATGGCTATAAAAAGTCAAAAGCCCAATTTGGAAGGATTTGCAATGTTTAACTTCATTGTATTCCAGCTCTTTGCACCACATCAGGCACAGTTAGATGCAGAAAAGCCAGCAAAACATGTTCCCAGTGTTTCCTTAAAAATAACAGCATGTTTGTTTCCACTTTTCATCCATTCCAACTACTGCTGAAATCAAGAGAGCTTGTGTTCGGTCCAGTGTAAGGGAAAAATTGTAGGCAAACCTACAGCTTTTCTGCAGTCAATTTATTTAACAAAACAAATTATTTCTGTAGCCACTTCTCTGTAAGAGCAGTACTACAGACTGCAATCTATTTCAAACTGTTGAAAGTTATCTTGATAATCAGTGCCCACATTCACACCAGTTAAATTCCAGCTCAGGCCCTCTGCCCAGTGTCTGCTGCCATGTGGGCACTACCAAAGACCCAGAGACAGCTACAAGGCTTCAGATGAATCTGTGATGGCCAGAGGGTGACACTTCCTCACTTAAGACCCACTCCAAAATCCCAGGGAATGTCTATAAGCCTTGGATTTGATGATCTATAGGGCAGGTTTTAAAGTGGATTTGTAAGGATGGAACATTAATAATAATGGGTTTTCAACAATATTTTAGGTGAGTGATCCTCTTCATTCTGATGCATACCATGCTGTTGTCACTGAGAAAGATGGAGCCTATAGCAAGAGCCAAAATTAGATTCTCAGAGTATGGGCTGCAGTTTTCCAAAAAAAAAAGGTTGCTAGTTTGAAGGGGTTTGGTCTTTTTTTAATGAAGTGATTGCCAGAACGCATCATTGCATTCACGCTTGTTGTTTGTATCATTTTCAAGAGTTTTTCTATTGTGAGTACACTGGCACTAGCTTGTATAGTAGAGCTACTTCAACATAACTTGTTCTGAGTAAGGTTGTATATACAGGTATTTCTGGTTTGTCATGTGTACCAGTAAAATCTCTTAATGTAAGAAAAATTATTAGGTCCTCACTGCCTCCACAAAATGTAGCTTTGGGGTTTACAAGACATTATTGCAACTGCAAGTTTTCAGTGATAGTGGGGTGTTCCAAATTTTGTATTTGGAACACCCCAAACATACTCTTAGTGTTCCAGGTGAGTCGTGTAAGATCTTCTTTTCAGACACACTATAACAAGCATTTTGATGCTATCCAAAAACAAAACTCACAATGTCATTTGCCCTGTGAGCAGAGGCTCACAGTCACAGTAAGGACACTAAAACCATTTCCACACACATTAATCTTGCGTAGTCCATTTGAAATACATATGGGCACATGTAGAACTTCACTGTGGCTAAATGCAAATGCCTGGGTTTTGTGTGTGCATGTGTACAGATATGTATCTATACACAAATGAGTATTTGGGTCTCCATTACTTCCACTCACAGGGCAAAATAATTAAAACTGGTTTTAGGTATACTTATGTAAATTCAGGGTAACTTCATTACATCATTTGGCTTTGCAGGAGCTGCTTCAGACTTATACCACTTTAAGTGACAGCATAATTTGTCTTTTAACTTATAGGAACTGGTTTACACAATTTATCATACGAACTGTGAAATTTTCAGATAGTTTATTGCACAAAACATATTCACTGACAGTCAAGCATATATAAATTGTTAAAATCCCATCAGATAGAGGAAATAATATACTGAATTCAAGTATGTTGGAGACAGTGTATACTCCTGTTTAGCAATAAATCCATTTGATTTATATTCCCAGGTCATCTGCCTAATATAAGATAAGATAAAACAAGAGAGGTACTCTAGGGAAGACTAACAGGAAAGCACGCATTTGGTTTAGCTTGGATTATTTCATGTGCCTCTTTATAGCATCTATTGGTGTCAGTGTATTCTGGGAAGTGTCACTTTGTGCATTACAGATAATTTGGCTAAAGTCCCAGTACCCTTTGAAAAAAACAAGATGTGCCACAAAACTTTTTTTTCATCCTAATATGTGTCTAATGGAAGAGTTAACATCTTTAGAGCACTACTATGTCAGCCGTTTACATTATAAATAATGTTATTGAAAATACAAATACATTTTAACTGAATTGTACAAGGTCTACACTGTACTACTACACATTGAAGGCCAATTTTTTTTTTGTAAACTACTACGTATGTATAATTTACCAGTTGTAATCTTAACACATTTGATTCTGTGATTTCAGTAAAAGTAATAAACTGTATCATAGGTCCAAAATATTTGTTCTATATGGTATATTTGCAGGCTACTCTTTGCTGTTCATGCCCCACTAGAGATGGATGTGCATAGAGATTGAGCTAATCCCTATATTACGGCATAAATATTCTTTCTATATGTAAACACGGCACTTCAGTTGTGGTGAAGGGGAATTCTGTCATAGTGGCTTTTTGAGTCATGAAATATAACAGGAAAGTGCGGAAGGTGGCATTCGGTGCCCTTCCAGAGCCTTTGACAAAGGCTGTTATTCAGAAAGATGGTATATACCTATATCTCCTGAGCCTCCCCAAACGCCATGAAATCCATGGGATCTGTCCAAAAAGCAGCATCCCATAGTTTGTGGATTAGATACTCAGAATTAGATTCATAATTAGCTATATAAACCAATCTAAGAGTAGCAAAACCCTGCTGGAACAGGTAATGGTGGTATACAATGCATGCAGAAGTGGTGGCACAGTGTATGTGTCAAAGGAAAGGTAGAGCAGTAATTATGGGATTGGGCTGGTGTGGCACATTTGTATAAACACTCCAGTTGAAGCATAGCTCTGAAGATGCATTATTAACAAGATTTACTTTTCTAATATAACCACATTATTATGCATTATAATTCAATTTTCATGCTGATTTCTTGCTTATCCTTTCTCATTCCACAACATCACACTGGAGTTTTTCTTGTTCCCAAAAATGATGTTTTCTTCACAAAAGCAAATTTATCCTTTCTAAATCTTATACCACATGTGTGTCTAATC